CAAGTATAGGCCTGCGTAAAGTTAGTGTCTGTATGTAAATTCGGGCCTATCACGTGACATGCGCACACTTTGAGCGGGTTACTATTGCTTTCTGACCGTTTTTTGCATACACCCTTTTGTTCTCGGATGTAGTGTAGCCTATACAATTACTTTTTAATTATGAAAACACACATTGTTTATTAGAAATGCCCTCTTGATTCATATGAACTGAAAACAGCCTACGCTCTCCTATAGCCTACGAACACTGTTACTTTCTACTTAGATAATGAAATGTTTTAATTTGGGAAAACGTGCCTTAGAGATGAAGTAGCCTACTACTTACGTGCACCTGACGTTCTACTTCTACTTTCGTTCCGTTCCTTCTGCTTATGCTTCGGGAAACCTGCAGCCCTTGTGAATATGTCTTTGTTTTCCCATATTTTTTTGCTCAAAAGAAATTAAATAACACGGATACACCTACAGTTTTACTGTCATTAGAAATATTTATTTTTAATAAGTTATTTTAAGACATTAATGAATCGTGTAGGTGCTGTTAGATGTCTGCCTACGCAGGGCCCATGACTTGTCAGAGAATGGGTCCTGCTCCTTTAACATAGGCTACGTTACGTGTCATTGTTGTGGTGTTCATGCCTTTTGAGGACATTTCAGAAGCGTACGGTAGCCTAATTATTGTGGGTCTGGGCTTGTTTTTTACTGCTAACGGATTTATGATCTTGGTCTCTGAGACCATCCAAGACAATTAGCACATAAACTCTAAATAGATGATGGTTTGTGAGCAATAAAGCCATTACCTCCAGCATAAACTGACAGTTACCCTACTCTAACTAAACTCCTACCACAAGCTAACTAGAAAGAAAATACCCCACTGTAGACAATTATAGTCACTGCTATTTTATAATTAATTCGCAATTTGACAATGCAATTTGTTTTGTGGGCCACTCAAAAATCTATAAACTGTAAAAATAACAATATTTTTTTTACCTGTTTTTCTTCATGCCCAGTGACGGCCACCTTAATCAGGCATTCAACAGAGCCCCACACTGGCAGTTGGGTGATTCGTCCGTTTCTGTGCATTTGAAATAAGGACAGGTTAAATAAAGTCTTTGATAGTCAATTTTTTTTTTCTTAAAAAAAAAAAAAACATCTACAGAGCTAGTTGGTCATATGACGCAAAATGTTAAGTGATTGGACATGTTGTTTCTTACCTTACTACGAAAAATTAAGGTAAAATCTTCAAACTCTTAATAACTGAAATGTGCCCAAAGCGGGAGCGTTAGGCCTTTATTATAATAATAAACACAATTTAGGGGAGGGGGGAAAGTTGGAGTGATTTTGCGCAAAACATTAATGAGTAGCTAGACTACGTCTTTTAAAAAGCTCAGGCAGTAATATTAAGTGGCCTAGTTTAAGATATTTTCCACATCTCTCCCCACTACCCTTTCCATTAAGAGCGATTAGATGATGTCCATTGAAAGTTGCTGATCCATAGAGAAAATGGCAGTGGATAAAAGGCGATTTCATGTGACCTTCTCGTCCCTTTCACACCAATCTGAGCCCCCAAATAGTTAGGGATCAAATTGAACAAAAGCCCCCTCCTCTTCTCTTTCAACTCACTACTACTCAGGGTGACAAAACCCACCATCGCATTTGAGAGGCGCGCAATGTGTTTAAAACTGTGAGATTATTAGAGACAGCAATATATATATATATATATATATATATAACCAACTACAACAAAATGTATGTCTTAACATTAAATTTGTTTTCTTCAATACAACAGTAACAACGGATGTTTAAATCCAATACCATAAGCAAAGCGCTCCAAACTGTTTATCACATTGAATGTTTCCGAAATTTTTAATTAAAACGTGTTGGGTTTATTGCAAGGTATAGTGATCATCTACTTTACTGACAGTTTTGATGTATTACTGTGTTGATTACTTTTTTCTTTTTCTTTTTTTTTTTTTTTGACTACTTTTTTATTCAGTATTTTTACAAGTATATGTTTGTCATGTTTATTTTCTATTTCTATCGCTATATATTTAAACCTAACATACAGCAATTGTATAACATAAGTGATGATTATATAAATTTTAAAATTTGTTCATTGCAGGCCTGGTATCAATCAACACTTCGCAATTCAGAGATGTCTTTATTATAAGTTGTCCAGTCATTGTATACAAGCAATTCACCTTCAAGAGAAGCTTTAGTGTAGGCTACTACGGAATCTAACCCTTTAGTGTGGTTAGTAAAAAATGCGTTTACTTTTATACCTGTAAAATCTGTAAATATAAGCCAGCAACTATACAATTTATAAATACCTTGTTTTCATTGGGACTTTAGTTAAATCTGGTATCAGAAGTGTCTGATAAAACAAGGAAAGGGAACTATTTTGTCCCTGCTGTGTCCTTAGAGGTTATACCATCTAACCCGAGCGTATTTACATTCGTGCTCACTTGGTAGGAGGTCCGCCATTCGTGGGATTTTATTACTCGAGCAGCTCTTAGGGAGCATGCATTAGACTAAATGGTATATGTTGTTTATTGCTATTTTAAACGAGTTTGCACGGTCATTAAGGAAAAATAACATCATATTACAAATTGAATGAGGTGCTTTGAAACGATTAATTGTTATTATTAGCATTATTACTGTTATTATTATTATTTTGATTTTATCACACATAGTAACATTATAGCATAAAGAGGCAACTCATGGACCATCATTGATTTCAAATAGTTAACATAGCTCGGTGATCACAGTTTCATCCAATAAATTATTATTGTTTTGTTTGTTTGTTTTGTGCTAGATATACCTCGTATTGTCATGTGAAACATTGCAACTTTTTGAACATTGTTTTGTACTTTAACTTATTTACTATCTATCAATAAAACGTTCATTACAATTAATGACAAACAAATGCTTTTTGATGAATAATTTACATTACTTATGGAATGAACTCACTACAGGGCCTAACACTAAAAAACAAAATATGATCCTAAAAATGATAGTTAGTCATGTATAGTGAAATGTACTCTACATCTTTTGACGTAGCTAATTGCCTTTAATTATGATATACCTAAATTAAAGAAAGATACTTCTTTCAGCAGATTTTTTCTTCTCAAAATTGTTTAAATGTTTCTGTACACGCGTCAGCCCTACTTTATTCTGAACAGGTCTATCGTATAATCGTTCTTTTGATCCGTTGACATTATCACTTAGACAAACAGACTGCTATCGATCTTTCCATTACGAGATCATACAAGACGAATTACACAGGTGAAAAAGCGTTTCTTAAAGTCAAACGTTCAGTCATGTTCAGCATCACTATAACGTTAGAATTTTTTTTTTTATGTAGACTAGTGCAAATGATCGATAGAATTCTGTCCACCGATCTCCCGTGGTCTATATTCGTATTTCCTTCAGCTGACAGTCTCACGTCCTTAATTTGATAGGCTAGGTTTTTGAGGATTTAGTTTAAGACACGTTTACGTACATTGCGAGATTTTTATATGCATTTCAACTCACTCTGGAATTGCAGAAAGTGATAAAAGTACTTGCCTTTCAAATATGGACCAAACTGAGAAACCGCCGATCCCAAGTAATACCCACCGGTCGCTGGGCGCTCGCACTTTGAATGTCCAAGTGTCCACTTTACCATTTCTTCAGAGCTGTTTTCATGCGTGCCTTGTGTTCCCATTCGCTGTCCTTCTCCCTCTCTCCCCTCTCGCTCTCTTCCCTATCTGAGAAAATAACCCCGATGGTACACTTACAGAAGTTTCTCTTTGTTCGTTTTAATCTTATTCGTTTCACTTTTGAAAAGAACAGAGGACAGCAGCGTGCGTTTCTGCGGATCGGTGTGAGGAGAGACAGAGGAAGCTCCGCGGTCGAGTTGAAAACAGGCTACCTTTTTGTAAATAGAGGGTTTCGTGAACGGTCGGATGTCAGTGTTTTGCTTCCCCTTAACTTCTTTCACACAATTTTGGACTTTTAAGGCAAAGTTGATATATGAGAAAGTTCTAGCCAAGTGAAAAAGTTTGTCAGATGATAAAAGCTACAAAGGTATTTAATACCTAAAAGCATTTTAATTGTCCTTTTTCCGGTTATGTCAACTGGAAAGAGGCCAAAATAGCTCCTTGCAACATCAAATATTTAAAAAGTATAGATATTGTTAAATAAAATAAATAAAATCAGACAACTTAAACTATCATAATCAAAGTAAGACGTTTACATTTTACAAATAGGCTACATCAGCAAATACATCAATCAAATAAAAATAAGAAAACGTCCATCCCACAGCGCAATTGATCTCTGAGCTACATTTGGAAACATGCTTAAAATGACAATAAATTACTCATTTTTATGTCGCTGTACTTGTATACTGTACGCTAGATGGCAGCCCGATCCAGACATTATAAACCTGTACAGCGCAGCCTTCGGCATTCATGCACAAAAAGCCGGTTTCCCTGCGCATTATACCAAAAAAAAACTTCTCTCGTTAATAAATCTGTTAAAACATACACTGAATGATGGATTTTTATACTTTACACTATCATGATAGTCTGATTCCTCTTTTGTGCCCTGGCTGGCAGCATGATCTGTTTCCTATCACTGAAGCATTCCGTTATACTGATATCTTTCCAGTCAAACTAGTGGTAGTCGTCTCGCGTCCCAATACTTTTTATTTATTTATTTATTTAATCGTTTTGCTGAGAACTGGGTGTATAAGTGGCATCTGAAGATATGGTTTATGCATTGATTCGCAATTTCGAGCCGGTATTGTTCTGTCAAATGACGTAAAATGTTAATGGATCCTTCACAGTTCAAATCTAGACGTTGTAATGGGTATTTTTGTAATTAAGACTACAGCTTCGAACAAAACACTTTCAACTTTGCGTGACTCGCACCAGTCCTTCCGCATCACGCGCAATTGTTTATATTTCACGTGCGCGTATAGTTCGCTCATTGCTTTCATCCCGTTTTCCTCCGCTTCTTTCTGGGGTTTCTTCCTCTTTTTGTGACAATAGACGGTCCATTCTAATCGTGTTTCAAAGTAAATAGCAGCGCAGGGGCGAGCGCAATGTAAATTGTGCTTGTCAGAGCCCTCAGTCGTAGGTAGCGAGGAGCGAGGACTCTAACCAATGGAGTGAAGGAGGCTTGGCTAACCTTAGCCTCCCATTTTCTCTCTCCCCCCTCGATGCAGGGTTCTGACCAGTCAGTCGCCTTTGATTATCAGTTGCCAGCAGCCCCTCTCTTGGCTCCTTGACACGAGCACCATATAAGGCGCAGCGATCTCCATAGAAACGTGTCAGTTTCAATAGTAGTGTCAAAGTTCACTATATACAGACATTCGCGCAGATCTCCGTTTCGGAAACATTGCTCCGCTGGTACTCCCGTTAAAACGCATTCTTTTTTGGGTCTCTGCTTCTTACATATTCCATTAGTTTTTTTTTCTTTTTTTCTTTATCCTTGCTCTGTTCCTACTGGAGAGGTGAAACTACATAGGCACTCGGGCGACGTTGTTTTTTTCTTTCTTTTGCTGGACCAGATGAGCTTTATTCATGAACATAGATAGAGAAATCCGTTCTTCAGTGTTTCCTCCTCTCCAACCGCGAAGACGGAGAGAGGAGCAAGGAAGAAAAAAGAGGGGAATTTATTTTGCACAGCACTTTGGATCTCCGGTCCACCAGAAAGCTATTCATTTTGCTTCAACGTGAAGATTTTTTATTGCGGTATTTTTTAAGAAACCCGTTTTTTTTATTACGTCTGGGATCGCTTTCTCTCTACACGATTGGGTTCCCGAATGGCTGACTGCAATTTACCTTGGAACTGGCCTCCCGACAATTGCATATCCTGATCGGGTGCCTTTCTATCGACTCCGGTATTTTGAATGTATTGATCATTTTCTGCTTCTACTTTTTTTCCTATGAGATTGAGTGCTCCGATTTGAATTCGCGCTGCCGTTCGTCCAAGACTTCCCTTTTCCCTGCTCCGATATCCGAGCGACCAGTTCGCTTGAAAGCACTTTTCGGGCCCGAGATATGGCAATGGTAGTTAGCGTCTGGCGAGATCCGCAGGAAGACGTGGCCGGAGGACCTCCGAGCGGCCCCAATCCAGCAGCTCAGCCGGCGAGGGAGCAACAGCAGGCGGCGTCAGCAGCACCACACACTCCGCAGACCCCCAGTCAGCCAGGACCCCCGTCCACACCAGGGACGGCTGGCGACAAGGGCAGCCAGAATTCTGGACAGAGTCAGCAGCATATAGAATGTGTTGTTTGCGGGGACAAATCGAGCGGCAAGCACTACGGTCAATTCACCTGCGAAGGATGCAAAAGTTTCTTCAAGAGGAGTGTCCGAAGGAACTTAACGTATACATGTCGTGCCAACAGGACCTGTCCTATTGACCAGCACCATCGTAATCAGTGCCAATATTGTCGGCTGAAGAAATGTTTAAAAGTGGGCATGCGGCGGGAAGGTGAATATAATATATTTTCTGAACACGTCACACTATTGCTACACACAGGTTTATTGTTCAGAGACATGTTACATAAAGCTCGCACTATGCACATACAAACGCGAAATAAATGTTGCTTTGATTGCTTGCTAAAGAGTGTCAGAAGGCGCGTACAAGCAATAGTAAATCCGCGACCATAGGCAGAATCAGCATGCATCTTACAAAAGTAATGTTGTTTGCATAGACAGGCAAGCATCATATGCACCCATTCCAACTCAGCCAATTACATGAGATATTAAAGTCACCCATGAACGCTGTATGTGGGTAAAAGAAAGAAAGAAAGAGATGAAGTGTGTATGTGTGTGTGCATGTGTAGCCTATGCGCGCGCTTGCGTGCTGGAAGACTGCCCGAGCCTTATCCTACGTCTCGCTATGGCAGCCAGTGCATGCAGCCCAATAATATTATGGGGATCGAGAACATCTGTGAGCTTGCAGCTCGCCTGCTCTTCAGTGCTGTGGAATGGGCGAGGAACATCCCTTTCTTTCCCGACCTGCAGATCACTGACCAGGTGTCCCTGCTCAGACTGACATGGAGCGAGTTATTTGTGCTAAACGCGGCTCAATGCTCCATGCCCCTACATGTGGCCCCACTGCTCGCCGCCGCCGGCCTGCACGCCTCGCCTCGGTCGGCGGACCGCGTCGTGGCCTTCATGGATCACATTCGTATCTTCCAGGAGCAGGTCGAGAAGCTCAAAGCACTGCACGTCGATTCTGCAGAATACAGCTGCATTAAGGCAATAGTGCTCTTCACATCAGGTGAGTGTGTGAGACGAGGCCTACTCGCAGACATAAGGGGGCAATGCAATACGGGGTGGATAAGCTTCGGCATCGACGCTATAGCTCACTAGTGGGTCTCGAGCTGACTTTGTACTGTAAAATCTCTTTAGCGCACAAGTTATGAAGTGGTAATTCAAATGTGATCGATTCAAAGCCATTCACAAATATTTAAGATTTAATGTAATGCAAAATGTTGCATATTATGATGATGATATTATATCTAAAGTAAATTTTGCGATATTTGTGGAGGTTGACAAATATACAAAGCATAACATTCAATATATCAGCTTGAATATGCATTTCACATTCATTTTACGTGATGTAAAATATTTAGGCCAATATTTGTACACTCAAATATCTCAGAATATCTTTCCTATATCTGCTCAACCACTTTGGTTCACAACTGTACATGAGGCCACAGTGTGCATACACAAATATACACCTGGGGCCCTCTCTGTTGAGAAAGCTGACTATGAGGCCTCTTATTATTAATAATTGATTTTAAGCTCGGGTGATATTTTATATGAATGCGCAGATATATCCATTAGACTGGTGTCTGTCTATTTACTGAGGGGTTATTTTGCCAAATAGTTAAAAATGAGCTAAGCTATAACAATTTTGACAGAACATTGATCGACACCAAATTACCCTCACACTTCTATAACATTATAATTGATGTTTATAATATTAGTATTTCTCTCGGCAACAGACGATAAAAAAAATATATAACGCTGTTAATAAGGTTTAAGCGGACTGTTGTTTTTAAATAGTTTTACACTACGTATGTACTTTGCCTTAATTATGATTTGATCTTCGTATGCTATTATGTAAATTAATTTTATAATTAATATTAACATTAACTATATTTATTTTAGCAATTCGAATTATATACCTACGTTTTGACTAATACCAACTACTAGGCTACTACAATACCACTACCCCTTCAATCGTCTCTTGAGTTTAGGACAAAGGTGCAAGCCACACACACACACACACACATATATATATATATATATATATATATATAATTTTTTGCAGTTAAGAAAACATCTGTAAAAAAAAGACTAGCAAAGCTTACTGGTCATGTTGTGTAGTGTAGCCATATTTTTATTTTATTATTTTTTTTTTTTTTACCTTAAGGTGAAATTAAAAGAGGCGTTCAAGTTAAAGTAGGCCAGGGTCGGTTGGCCACCTTGTGTACCTATTGCCTTAATTTTCAGAAATATGCGTTACTGTTGAATGTGTATGGCATGCCAAATCTTTAATGGTGAAACATAATTAATGTTCTGAACATCTAATCTATTCCACCGAAATGTAACATTGTATTTGTTTCTCAACGACATCGAGTCTCACACGGTAGGCTATCATCCTTGCCATTTTTAACAATGAATTGCTTACAAAGCACTAAGATATTTAGAGTCTGCTGGGTAGCGAATCAGAACAACTTGATGAAAGGATTTCCTAATCCGTAAAATCCGAAATGTGTTTCAATACTAACTGTATTTTTTGATTCCGAAGTGCTGCGTAAAGTTTTGGACATATGGTCTATATGTTTCACGTGATGGATTAATAATGAATAATGCGCCCACTGGTTTTGTCTCTTCTCGGGTTCTTTCTGATTAAGTGTAAATCGTTAAGTAAACTAATAAAAACATCCGTACACATACGAAACACATTACACTGTGTTTTGCTGAATTCTCTCTGTTTTTTATAGCAGTTCTTTCTGCACATGCTGGCTGCAGCGGAAAGTTGCCCATGAGGTCACATTACGGAGAGGTTTTAGCAAGGACTTAGCACAGTTCAGAAGGTTATAGTATTTGACCACAGTGTGCTCTAGTCCAGTGCAATTATGATCAGTCTCCGAGGCATGCTGTACACCACGCCCTTACACTTTAAGACTTAAACCAGAGAAAACTTAAACTCTTATTTTGAATATCTTCAACAGAGCCGCCATATTAGAATACTGATAGAATACTGATAGAATACGTATTGGCCTGACGATGGTGTTCATGAGAGAGGACGTTTGGCTGAACTGATGCTGGCAGTTCCAGTAAGCCTATATGTTTACTGCATTGGCGTTCATGTGGTATTTGTAAACATGTTTTGACGTAATAGCATTAATTGACATGCACTATTAAAGTAGAAGGGTTTCTTGTAAAATACATGTCTTTCTCTGAAATTTAGGCGATTGTGTCCTCAAGCAAGTCCACGGTAATAAATGTGATTGCTTCCAGCGGCCTTGCCTCCTCGTTCAGACTCACAGCAGAGGCAACTGCTGGTACAGGGAATCGGGCGAGAAATTACTTGGTAGCATCTGGAGAGCAATTAGGTCATAATTTTGGTTATTACCATGCCCGATTCTCTGTCAGATATGAAGCTGGATATTTCCATATTTGACACAAGGCACGAGCGCCTTCTCCACCCTCTTCAGTCGAGCTTGCTATGCAACCTTGTCCCTGCGTACTCTTTGTTTAGTCTGATTTGTGAGCGTGCATGCGGTGTGTCCCCTACAACGCAGGGAGTACGTTCTGTTACTCTTGAGGGATTGCACAGACGTATTGTTTATTTATATTGCAGGCAGCCTCATATGCTGCGTGATGCATGATGTTGGGCTCGTGTTTGTTCATCTCACTTTGTCAACAACACGTAATGCTGATGCTGAATGATAACCTGGGCCTCTTTTCTGTGCTGTGTTTTGTCTACTCAGACGCTTGCGGCCTGTCAGATGCTGCACACATCGAGAGCCTGCAGGAGAAGTCTCAGTGCGCCCTGGAGGAGTACGTGAGGAGCCAGTACCCGAACCAGCCCAGTCGCTTTGGCAAGCTTTTACTGCGACTGCCTTCTCTCCGCACTGTCTCTTCGGCTGTAATTGAACAGCTGTTCTTCGTTCGCTTGGTAGGTAAAACTCCCATTGAAACCCTCATCAGGGATATGTTATTATCCGGGAGCAGCTTCAACTGGCCCTACATGTCCATTCAGTGATCCGAATGAGCGAGTGAAACAAAAAGACTAAAGGACCAAAATTCTGCAAGCCCTTTCAAGAAGACTATATATATAGGACCTAATTCCTGACCACTTAAGAAGACACTTTTTTGTCTTCTGGGACCGAAATGGAATATGTAATGTACAAAGATTAAAGAACTGGACGTACTCCCGTGTAAATCCATCGCCGTCATCAAGAACACTCTCCATTTTGTAAAATACTAGTCTTTATTTTCATTTTCTTTTTTTTTTTCTATTCTTAACAAAATACGTACAAATAAAATGAAGAACATCATATTGCGCAGTAAATGAGCGAGACTTAGCGGGAAAGAAATTTCCTAGCAATTATACGAAATGTCCTGTGTCTATGTAACTCTGTTTTGTATTTTTTCTGGTTCTAAACCAGTTTTTTTCTGTGATTCTATACTAATGATTTTTGATATAACCTTTTGCTTCTTATAATGAGTGCGATATATGTTGTTGAAGATATGTTCTCCAAGAATTAAAATTGAAGTGAGAATTTAAAAATAAAGAAAAACATTAGACAAATAAGACACAGTCTAATCGCAATGACAATTTCACTGATGGTTGAATCTTCCCCCACTTGATGTTATGGACATGCAACTTCGGCAAATCTGACCTCATGGACATTTTAAGGAGAGGACACCAGTGAAACTTTTTCTTGGTCGTATGTGTGTGCGAGTGTGTGTGTTGAGTCAATCATCAGTCAGAGATAAAAGACATGAAAAATCAAAAGCACTTTTAATATATCATTTTCAAATACATTTTGTTTGTTTCGTCTTGATATTTTCGCTATTTCTTTTTTTATTGGATGTTGCCTTTCATTTTTGCTTAATCATGATATGCCTGTGCAGAAGGGTCGCGTGAAGTTGTGTGATGGTGACTATACTATTAAAAAGGAAATAGGCAACACTGTCTCGCTCTCAGCAAATTCAATGTTCTTCATGCTATTAATGAGCTGTTCTAATGGCGGGTATTTGGGATGTGCTTTTACATTATGCATATTTCTGTTTGCTAAGGAAGGTCAACGAAAACACATAGGTTTGTCTCATTTTTGTTGGGCTGACTTGTATGTTGACACAAAATATCAAGCCCGTCAAGAATAGTTTTGAAATACTGTAAAACCTCTATAAGCAGAATGCAAGCATTTGATTACTTTTGGAGGCATATTTATTCTCTGTGCGTTTTGGTGAGCACGTGCGTTTTATATCATCTGGAGTCCCCGTAGATTTCTGTGACGTTGCTACCGACTGGTTCAAAGATCTATGCCTGTTTCAGCGCATTAATGTTTAATATTTTTCCCAGGCTGAACTGAAAGGCTTGCTCGTAGTCAAAGAGAAGATATAAAGAAATACCGTCCCTCTAATAAGGCAAAATGAGGGCTTCTTCTTCTATCACCACAGTTTTAAGAAACGAAGTAGAGGGGAAAAGAAAACAAATCCATCAAAACTCGCAGACTATTATTACTTTGAGGTGATCGCGAACGGATCTGTGTTAGGACAGATGTTTTCACTAGGAACGCAGCAGCAGTTATATGTGTGATCAATCTAAGATATGTATAATGCCGCATGTAAACCGGTCGATAGGAGCACTAAATGTGATGTATTGTACCGAGATAGAGAGAAATTCATGTGCAGCCTCATATGATTGGTTAGAACCACGAAAGGAAATCACTTGATGCTCAGATGTGCGCGATTGTCCTTCATGTGCACGTAAATACATTTCACGTGTGAAGTTTACGGTGGGAAGGAGGCGTGTTTTTATAAGTACAGTGACAAGAACTTTCGCTGACCCCAATGTCACTGAATTTTTTACCGAGCGCTAATCTTGTCTACTCAAGCAAGTTCGTTATACGCTGATTCCTATAAAAAGAGCATGACATAGGCTAATCACAAAAATAAAGTGCGGGTTTGGCCATGCCATAATTATTCGTGATTCAGACTGTTTTTTCAATTAACCCGTAAGGTAGGCTAATACTAGCGTTGACATGTTTCATATAAATAATAATAAGCGAAAGAATATTTTCGCTTACAGCGTCCTTAAAAGCGATTAGTGGTTCAGCAAATGAGATGGATTCAAAAGGACTTGCAAGAAGCCACATAGACAAAATATCCTTCTCTGTTGTATTTTTATTCGAAATATATATATTCGATGGGGAAGATTCATAGTATAGCCTAGTGTTCATTTCATCACATGATCTTTGGAGGGGCAATTAGCTTGATGATGAAGTTAACGATCATATGTGTTTTATTTTTGCATCGCCTTTCCCACCATGTAGCCTATAGGCTATTAGCGCTGTAAAAATAATTTCTATCAGAAAAAAAAGTCAAATGCAGGCGAGACCATATATTTTTGTGACTATGTCTAATTGCGCATTCTTTGAATTAAATATGGTCAGGTTAGGCTATTAGAAAAAAATGCAATGCACACGGGAATTCTGCTGATTTTATGGAGGTCAAGTAGAGAGACTTTGTTGCTAGAAACCAGGCATTTTCACAAGACTAGCTAGGCTATAAATGTGTGGCGATATAGTCAATGTGCTGTCGATTTTTAAATCAAAGCCAGTAGGCCTGAAATTACCTAAATATGACAACAAAGGCAAGTGTGCCCTTGTTTACTTATATAATACTTCGACTAAAGTGTTGACCATTGCATTGAGCTGAAACTTAAAACACTTTCATGTTCAGCAATAATGAGATCAAAATCCCTGAAGATTTTTTTCCCTCTATTTCACGGGAAATAGCAGAATAAGAGGAACACGTTCTATTGAGATTTACATTTGTTGGACTTGAGGCTATATAAAGCAAGTTGCTAAGGACTGAATTCGTGCCATGTGTTCCTAATTAACAAAGCAAAATGTATCCATAAAAGAACATGAATCATATGCAACAAGAAAAAGTCTATTCTAGTCTCTGTTTGAGATGCATGTCAGCATATGTTGTGTAGGCTACTGCACGATATTTGAATTTAGCCTTCGTTATTTTATTTTCCACGTCGATTTTAAATGCACATGATCTCATAATCTCAGTGGTTTTAGTCGATTTCTTCACTTAGATCTAAAGTGGGTTAGGAGGTTAGCGTGGCAGTTTTACCTCACGAAAAGGACTACCAAATGACTCAGACACATACCGTTTTCCTACAGAAAATAAATAGTCACTGCGGGCTTGGAATGTAACAGCTGTTAGCTTAGTCGCGCTTGACTGAGGTACGAGTGTTTATCTGACACATTTAGGATATTGGGACATAATTTATGGTTTTTGATGTTGTCTGTGTGGAGGGGAAGAACAGAGACTTAAAAATGTCTAGATATTTGTGTTATATCGATCTGGGACTTTGGTCTATCTATCTATATATGCATATCATCCCTCTATTCATCAACACGTATTATGATGTTATGTTGATAAAGTATAGTGTTAAATTCAAGTGAAAGGTGATGTGGGGGAGTTGATGTTTAAAAAAAATATTGTTTTAAAATCTTTGGCATTTTTCACTTTAATTACACAAATTGCCTGTTTACATTATGCCACAGAGGGCATATGCAGGCTATGACGATACATTTGTGTTAACATTCTCAGTGATCACTGCATAATTCTACGTCCACAGAGCTCCCAGCAAGCTTAAGCCATGGATCAAATCCAACACAACAGGATATAAAATATCCCCAGTTGTGAACGTAACATAAGGCGACGCCTGTGCTTGCATGTGTGTGTGTGCGTGCGTGACTTCGTTGAACCATAGAGTTTTGTTGTATGTGTGTTCCACTTCGAAAGTGTGTGTGTGGTCGGGCCTGGTGTGAGGTATAGGACGAGAAAGCACAGATCGCTGTGTAAGCGATCCCTTTGTGTTGATTTAGGTAGACGTTTGCTGTATATAACGTTCAAGGCTGATAATATCATTGCCTCGCCAGATAAATAAAGCTTTGGCCAAACCATCGGGTCAGCTATCGATCCCTTCTGCGTGCAGAGAGAAAGGGAATGAGACGGCACAGGGACAGAGAAAAAGAGGGGGGTCTCTTATTAGCATTCCATACCCATGACCGACCACTGACAAGTAAAAGAGATATCTAGCTCAACGCCATACATCGCCTGCTTTGCATACTTTTCATTGCATAATAACGTTCATTAGGCTTATTGTCAATGACAAGCAACGGGGAAATGGAACAAAAATACAAATAAAACTACGTTTGTATTTTCATTATATTATTATAATAAATGTAAATGTAAATAATTTGTTTTCTGAGTGTAAATAACAATTTAAAAAAACGCTGGGGGGGGGGCAGCGTCATAGTTGTTGCAAATTGTTTTTGTTTTGTTTTGTTTTCCCCCCACGAGGCAGCTGATCTTTCTTAAAGTGTGGCGTTGAGCATATAAGCACATTTATAGGCAATTCTTTCAAAGGATACGCATGTAAATATAGCTATTTACAGTTTCTTTAGGCAGGGAGCTTTTCCACAAGGGAATAGTTGCAAGGAAATTCACAACTGAAAGCGCACTCAAATCTTGTCCAACAATGACAACTTTTTATCATTTAGTCAGAGTTTTCTCCAAACGTTTTTTTTTTACTCCCACCCATCGTCCAGTCTTTATCTTTCTTTGTTGTTTTAAAATATGCATGTCTCTCCGGAATGCTAGTCACGGGTCCAAACTTTGCGTCCAACCTCCCACATGAAATGATCCCCCTTAAAGGGGGCTCAATATGTCTCAATCTGCACTTCAGTTCACTCAAAGCATTTGGGTACAGGGGACAGACTCCAGAAAAGCATAAATTAAAAGACAAGTCACCGAAGAGCGACTTTATCAACACATCATGGCGAAGAGTGGACTCAGCGACAGCAAGATTTTGAAGTATTGCGCAGATGTCCTCCAAAAAAGTAAGACAATTTGTTTTCATTTCGTCCCCCTTAAACGCGCGTGTGTGTGTTAGTCAGGGCTCCCGGGTACGCGCGCCCGTGGAAGAGTGTGCGTGCACGCGCGGTGTGGTAGAATAGCTCAATAGAGATGGAGAGAGCGCGGAGGTGGAGGGAGAGAGCTCTGTGGGAAAGCAAGAGACTAGAGGATGTCTCGACGTGCGTGTATGTATGACTCCGACTGTCATTAACAACAAATCAATCAACACGTGGCATTTAAACTCGAGAGTGCCAGTTGTCCGTGTTTGTTTGTGTGCTGAAGAAATAAATCATTGC